TCTTTAAAATCAGTCTCTTGATTAGAAAAACTTTTAAATGAAATATAATACACTGAAAAGTAACACAATGAAAGTGCACGCATCATAACAACATAGATTGATGAATTTTAAAATGCATCTGTTTAATCAGTACTCATAAAAGAAACAGTACTCAGGGCCAGGGATAGCTCAGCGGCAACAGTGCCTGCCTGGCAAGTGCAAGGTCCTGGGTTCAATCCCCAGTATGAAAAAAAAAAAGAAAAGAAAAAAGAAGCAATACTTGCAAGTACCTTAAGAATCCCTTATATGCTCCCTCTAGCCATTATTTCTTCTAGGGGAACCTGAATTTCTATACCAAGATTAATATTGCAGTTTTGTACCTGTATAAATGGAATCATAAAGTAGGTACTCTTGTGTTTGATTTTTTTATTCAGTATTATTTGTGAGGCTCTTCCATATTGCTGCATGTTTTAGTAAATCATTTATTTTCATTGTTGTTTAGTTTTTTCTTATATTAATATTGTACAGTTTATTAATTCTGCTACTGATGGGCATTTAGGTAGTTTTGGCCTTTATAAATACTGCCTCTATAAACATTGTAATATCTTTTTGGTAGACATTTAGATGCATGTCTGTTCTCTCGGATTTTTAGCTGCTGTGTGTGTTATGTGTGAATGGCTTTGCTTACTTGTAGAAATTCTATTTGGTTCTACCTTAAATCTGCCACATCACTTTTTATCATTTTCTATTCCCTGCAGATCTTTCCAAACTCACCTTAAAATTTTTTTCTGTAAGTTTAGAGTTCATATTTGATAAGTGTAATACCTATTGTTTTGGTTTATTTTTGGTGTTGTTTTCTTCTAGTTCTCACTCATTATTCTTTGTTTCCATATGTACCATTCATTGTGTTAAAAAAGTATTTGTAAAAATAATTTGGACCTAGGATGAAGGTGCCTTTCTGCAAAGAGGATTTGTATTTGCTGCTACAGGGAGCCCAGGGACTACTTTAAATGTACAGTTTGAGGTTTTTTTTTTGGCATATTCATTTGATGTGAATTCTTAATGCAAGCTATGTAAAGGATGATTATTTCTAGTTCATCCTTCTGGGTAACCCTGAATATGTACCCCTTTGGGGCTTATGCTTAATGTGAAGAGGGCCTCCTATTAGACTTACTGCTTTGGACCAGCCCTGAGCTTTTAATTTTGTTTCCTTATTGTCTCCTTCTTAAGTTCAGATTTGTCTGGCTTGTCAAATGACTTTAAGATAAAAGTACCTGTAGTTCTCTACTTACCTTGAAGTTTCTATTTTTAGTTTTGGTTTGATAATTCTTTTGTTGTTGTTGTTTGTTTCTTTGTTTGGTTTTGGTACCAGGGATGTAACTTAGGACCCTGTGCTTGTGAGGCAGGCAGTGGCACCACTGAGCTAAATCCCTGGCCCCAGTTGTTTTGTTTGTTTTTGTTTTTAACGTTTTGAAACATTTATTGTTGATTCATTAGTGTGATCACAGCACAAGATTCGTGATTAAGCATGTTCAACTGTCCAGCCAGTGGTATTTTTTAAGCTTGATATGGTAATGTAACCTTGACCTGATAAAGAATGTATCATTTTGACTTCTGGGCAAGAAATATGCTGCATCTCATGTTCAATTCCTTATAGTTCCAGCTTGGTCCTCTTCCAGTGTCTCCTCTTGGAGGTGAACCTGATTTTATTACCAGTCTTCATCTGAATCCATTGAGAAATGGGATGATTCTGCTTCTGCTTCTTGGCCAGGAATCACTCGGTTCTGAAAGTCTTGGGAGAAGACATGGTTAAGTTTGGAGGCAAGTGCACACATGCGATGATGGACAGGGTTTTGAGACAGGGTTTTGCTATGTAGTCTAGGCTGACCTTGAACTCCCTATGTAGCCCAAAATGGCCTCGAACTCTTGGTAATCTTCCTGCCTCAGCCTCCCCTAATACTGGGACTACAGGCGTGTGATGTTTTGGTCTGTTTTTGTTTTTGTTTTGTTTTGGTACTGGGGATTGTTTTGGCCTATAACTCCTCATTTTTATGTATTTTTGGTGACAGGGTTGGTGCAAATTAACTCATCAGTACTGAGGATAACATGTTCTTGATTTGTATTTCAGAAGACAGTCTGTGATTGTTGTATGGAGAATACTGTCAAGTAAGAGACAAAGGGAAGAAATAGGAGATCAGGAATCTGTTATTGTTCAAGTGAAAAGTAAAAATGGTTTAGATCAAGGTAACATAGAAGGGAAAGGCAGTAGGATTTGTTGATGACTGGACATGGAACAGGACAGAAATAGTACTCAAGAATGTCTTGGTTGTTTTTGTGACCAGCAGCAAAAGTGGGGTTCTGTTAGTTGGGATGGAGAAAACTAAGAGGAGAAAGTTTAGGGAAATAAATCAAGAATTTAAGTTGGGGGATGTATGTTTAAGATGCCTACCAGGCATCCTGGGGAGATACTACTGAGTAGGAAATTGGCAAGATGTGTGTAGAGTTCAGAATAGAGGTCTGGACAGGAAATACATACTTGCAAGTTATCAGGAATACTGATGAGGCTGGGAATTTAGCTCAGTGGTTCCACCACCTGCCTTGCAAGCTCAAGGACCTGAGTTCAACACCCATGACCAAATAAAAAAGAATACTGATGATTTAAAGATACAAAAATGAATGAATTCAACAGTGATAGAAATAGAGAAGAGAGTAAACTTAAAGTCTGAGCCTTGGGACATCCAAGGTTTAGAGTTTGAAAAGATGAAGGTTCATCAGAGGAGGCTGGGAAGGTGTGGTCAGTGAGGTGGGAAGCCCAAGAATAGTGCCCTAGAAGCCAAGAGCAGGTGTGTCAAGAAGGAGCGAATAATCAGCTGTGTCATATGCTGCTGAAAGTTTAAGTACATTGTTGTGAACTGAAAATTGATTATTATATTTGGAAAACAGTTATTTAGAGAAGTAAATTTGATGAGAGCTCATTCAAAGAGGTGGATAAGGAAGTGGAAAAGCAAATATAGACAACCCTGAGCTTAGCTATAAAAGGGGAACAGAGAAATGAAGATAAGGAAGGAAGTGGAAAAGCAAATATAGACAACCCTGAGCTTAGCTATAAAAGGGGAACAGAGAAATGTGGTAACCATGTTCTGCTAGAAAGGAATATGGGAGTGATGTTAATCAAGAAGAATTTTTTAAAAGATGGGAATTATCATAGCAAATTTGTTTCCTGATGAAGATGTCCCTCTGGGAGAGAAGAATTAATATGGGCAACAGTGCAGGAACAGAAAGGGAAAATGAAATTTGATATACAGGCAGAAGAGTTAATCATATACAGGAGCACAGATATTTCACACATAGTAGTAGGTTCAAGTTTATGCGTCCTGGGATTGGTAGAGGCAGTGATGCTACAATGCTTTTATTCTATAAAAAGCAAGGTTGCTGGGCGTGTTGGCGCATGCCTGTAATCCCAGCACTTGGGAGGCTGAGACAGGAGGATTGATGTGAGTGTGAGACCAGCCTGGGCTCCATAGTGAGTTCCAGGTCAGTCTCAACTACATAGTGAGACCCTGTCTCAAAAAA